AATAATTCACTAGGACAACTCACAGAACTCAGGAAAGTGCTATACTATTATGATTACAGGTTTATTAAGTTGGGAGCAGCCAAATGAAGAGATGTGTAGGACAAGGTGTGGTGGGGAGTGGGGAGCACAGTTTTCAACCCTCCCCCTGTGGAATCCAGGTGCTCCACCCGCCCAGCATGGCAATATGTTCATCAACCAGGAAGCTCCACTAAGCCTCAGTGTCCAGAGATTTTATTGGGGTTTCATTACGTAGGCATGATTGATTGAATCATTGACCATGTGGTTGAGCTCAATCTCCAGCCCCCTCCTCTTCCTAAAAGTTGGGCTGGACCCAGATTCCAACACTCTAATCTATGTGGTTGGTCTTTCTGGTGGCCCACCATGGTCACCTTATTAGCATAACAAAGACACTCTATCACTCAGGAAATTACACATCTTTGAAGCTCTGTGCCAGGAACTGGGGACAAAAACCAGACATAGTATTTATTGGTATTTATCAATAGTATTATTAATAAATTAATACTTTTATAATAAATTTAAGTAGTATTTATTAATAAATTTATTATTTATTTATAGTATTTATTATACCACACAAACAAAACCACGTTTTCAGTTTTTCTCTCTGTATTTCACTAGTTCTACATTATTTCTAATTATTTCAGTACTGTTAATGGCAGTTTTCCCAGTAGGATCATAAACCCAGGACTTATATTATTGGAAAGGATCCTAGAGATTCCCCTGCCTTACAGATAAAGAAACTAAGACTCACAGAAGTCACATTACTTGCTCGAAACCACAGCTCGATGGTGAAAGAACTGGGATTAAACCCTGAGTCTTCTGTTTGACTGTATACTTCACAGTAATCTCTATGTCTTCAGCCATGTAACTAACACACGTTTTCAGAGGGGCTTGACCCCTGCAATCCAAAAGTCTCTACAAATCCACCCCCAGAGGCCAAAGCTAAGCTCTCCCGGTCACATTTGGTAGCAGCCCTCCAACCCAGCCCTCACTGGCCTGCAGGCCAGTAACTCAGGCACAGGGCGAGGATGAGATCCAGGCTCAGCTTCAAGCTTGGTAGAAGGCTGGGTTTGAAGTGGGTTCTTGGAGCCAAGGAATTGTGTGGGGAAGGAGGGAGCCCTCCAGGCTCAGGCAGGGCAGGCCCCAGGTCAGGAACACCCTACTTCCTGATGCTCCAGCAGCCAAGCCAGCCCTGACTTCCATCCGGGTCCTTTCAAGGACGCAGAGAGACCACTCAGAGAAGAAATCTCAGTCCTCTCTCTATCCCTAGATACCACAGAATGACTTAACTAGGCTTAAGGCCAGCCAAGGCAAGGCCGGTATGATTACTATGATATCAGAAAACCCCTCACCCTGAAAAAAAAAATTCCTGTACCATCATTTGGATTCTGAGATTTTCAATTCCTTTAAGATAAAGCCCTTTTATTTTATGATGGTAGATAAGTTTCAAAATTTAAAAACCCAGCATTGGGTATGCAAACTCTCACTACAGTGTGATTGACTATTGATTATGAGTTTTGTTTTGCATTTCATTTTAAAGTTAGAAAGCATTGACGAGCACGAGAGCACTGAGTACATTAATTGCCTCCCAACATTACACCCTGAGCTGATCACAGATGGCAGCCCTGAATGCGCTTGTGTTTCCTTTCTAATCTTTTGCCCCCACTTATGATGGAGATACTAATGAGAGTGACGCAGTCTATGGGAGGGAAGCAGAAGATGCATACTGACTGCAAATTACCTAAAAAGGTCTTTAATTGCCTAATGATAGAGAATCATAGGCCTGGCGTGGTGGCTCATGCCTGCAATCCTAGCACTCTGGGAGGCCGAGGCGGGCGGATTGCTCGAGGTCAGGAGTTTGAAACCAGCCTGAGCAAGAGCGAGACCCTGTCTCTACTATAAATAGAAAGAAAATTAGCCAAACAACTAAAAATAGAAAAAAATTAGCTGGGCATGGTGGCATGTGCCTGTAGTCCCAGCTACATGGGAGGCTGAAGCAGGAGGATCGCTTGAGCCCAGGAGTTTGAGGTTGCTGTGAGCGAGGCTGACGAAGCGGCACTCACTCTAGCCTGGGCAACACAGTGAGACTCTGTCTAAAAAAAAAAAAAAGAAAAGAAAAAAAAAGAGAATTATCACCCAAATATCTAATAATCCTGAATAACCAAGAATTCTCATGAATCATTGCTATCTTCCCTGGAAGACCAATAAATATAGCTTCTAAAATGAAAATAAAACCCAATATAAAAATAACTTTAAAAATTAACTTACATAAACATACTGTGCTTTTTAAAAGCACAAACATACTATGTTTATTCATCTAGGTCTTTCACCCATAGAAACCTTTTCTACTCATGAGATACCATTTGCTCTCTAAGGAATAAATAACTTTTTTTTCTAGAGAATTCTTTTCTCGACTTTCCCCAACCCATAATCAAAAAATTGCCACAGGCTGGGCGCGGTGGCTCACGCCTGTAATCCTAGCGCTCTGGGAGGCCGAGGCAGGCAGATTGCTCGAGGTCAGGAGTTCGAAACCAGCCTGAGAAAGACCGAGACCCCGTCTCTACTATAAATGGAAAGAAATTAATTGACCAACTAAAAATATATACAAAAATTAGCCGGGCATGGTGGCGCATGCCTGTAGTCCCAGCTACTCGGGAGGCTGAGGCAGGAGGATTGCTTGAGCCCAGGAGTTTGAGGTTGCTGTGAGCTAGGCTGATGCCATGGCACTCACTCTAGCCTGGGCAACAAAGTGAGACTGTCTCAAAAAAAAATAAAAATAAAATTGCCACAACATTCAGAATTTTTGAAGACCCCCGAGGAAGGATGAAATGTATTAAAACCTAGTTGCTTAAGCGGATGAGTGGGGCGGCGCCCCCCCAGTGCGGGCCTGTGACCGAGGACCACCGCCCGGGGCTTTGCAACAGCGGGATGCTGGGGCTCCGTGATGGCACAAATGTCCCATAGCAACGTGCTGTGCTGCTGTCGGGGCACTCGCTCCGATCTGTGAGTTACCGCCAGGACTCAGAGCGCAAAGCCCGACGTGCCGAGTACCGTGACGTGAAGGAGGCTGGAGGGGCCTCGGAAACACGAAGTCCTCTCTGACCTTCTCCTTTCTCCTTCTTCCACTGCTGCCCCGCCCCCCGGGGGTCACGGAAACTAGAACTCGTCTCCCCTGGAGCAAGCCCTAAAGCCTAGGAAGATCATGATCTCTCTGACCGCCCTACCCTGGAAGTAGGTCACAAGACTCGCTGTGACAGGTGTCCCACCGCACCCGGAGAGGAGAAATGCTACACAGGGACCCCGAGCGGAATCTGAACAAGCCGGACCCTCCGAGTTCCCCTCGGGTCATTGCCGTCAGAGCGGACCCTCTGTGCCTGGTCACATGCCTCCACCACCATCCGCTTCTTTCATCAGACTGAGCATCAAAATACACAGTTTTCCCTTGATTTTTCGGTCTTCGTTTCTGAAGGCTCCCATGTTATGCAAAACTTTGATTAAACAGGTTTGTTACGCTTTTCTCTCGTTAATCTGTCTTTTACTGTCAGGCTGTCAGTGCAAATCTTGCAGTGGGTGAAGGAAAAGATGTTACTTCTTTTCTCCCCTACAATATCAAAATTGTTTACTGCAAGACCAAGTGCCCTTCAAATTATGCAGAGTTCATTTAATCAAAAGTGACTTCTCTTCTTTACCTCTATGCATTTTTTCCTAAAAATAGTAAACTCATCTGACGCTCAGCCATCCTTCAATGGAAACGCCATGCAAAAGAGGATTTGGTAAGTGCCTGTGTTGTAGCTAATCTCGGCACCAAAAGGGAAATTCAAAACTTTTGAGCATGTTAGCCTTTAATTCCCAAACCGATGACTTCTTTCATTTCCAAATAAGTATGAAAAATGTTAGTACATCAAAAGAGCGATTATTTTAAAATGCTAATACTGACGGTGGAAACAAAAGAGCAAAAACAAGTGCAGTCCAGTCTCCCTTTTTACATACTGACATTCCCTAGTGAGGACACATAGCTCCTTATAGTTATTCAATATCACCACCAGGCATGAATCAGAAGGGCAGCGCCTGCTACGGAATTGTAATGAAAAAGGAAAAGTGAAGATCCCTTGTTCAAAAACCAGGGGGGGGGGAAGGTTTTCCCTTTCTTCTATGATCTCCTTCTCCCACCTGTCATGATGGCTTTTATTTGCATTTAATGTCATGCTCCCTTGGGCACAAGCCCAGTCATGCATGCCCCCCCACCTCCTGCACCCCCTTCTCAAGTTCCCAGCAGGCTTGGCTGAGAACCGCTCCCAGGCAGACCTGAGGTGGAAGGTGCAGGGAGACAGGACCACATGTGAGGCTCCTCTGTCCCATGCACTTCAGGTACAAAACACAAGTTCAACAATGAAATTATTAATTATTTCAAGCAGGCAACTGCAGAGCACTGAACCACAAGCACAGGGCCCCCTTCTGAGCTGGCCCTATAAGAGCATTCAGATTATAGGAATATGCTACACGGCACTGGGACATTGAGAATGTTGGCAAAACTTAAGCTGGAAGATGCTGTTAATCACTGTTCAAAAAAAGAGAACAAAACCCAGCTTTTTTGGCCAAGGGTGGGCAAAACTCCTTCTGTAGAGGGAAAGATAGTAAAGACTTTTACGCTTGTGGGCCATGAGGTCTCAGTCCAACTCCTCAACTCTACCACTGCAGAGAGAGCACCGTCATGGATGATATGTGAATAATGGGCTTCACTGTGTTCCAATACAATTTGTTACAGACCCTGAAATTTTACTTTTATATGATTTTCCTATGTCAGAAAATACTTTTCCTCTTTTTTTCCCCAACCATTTAAAAATGTAAAAACCATTCTTGGCTCATGGACTGAACAAAAACAGGTGGCCAGCTAGATTTGCCAGCAGGTAGGAGCTTACTCTAGAGCATTGTAGACTCAATAAGGAAAATTAAAGAAGACAACGATAATTCCTCAATCTGTATGTGTCATTTCGGTGGTGAAGTCAAGAGAAGCAACATTGGCGAATATTCAGAAAAAAAAGTGAGAATAAGGGAACTCTAGGAGTCTAGACTTGGTTCTGTTACACACCAGCCAGGGGCCTTGGGCCTCAGTTTCCTCATCTGTAAAATATAGAGGGAGAAATGATCAGATAAACTCCAGAAGCTTTTCTGGCTCTAAACACTGTAGGATGTAGAAAAATATTTGATGCACTCTTTCAAAAAAATGTTTTTAAAAGCATTCTTTTCACTCTTCCTTTCCAAGTGAAATCCTTCAGAGTTAAGCACATTACAAGGTCATATATTGCTGCCTGCAAAAAATAAACTGGAGCACTCTCTTCTTGTCACCACAAACTGTTCCCTCCTTAAAGCTTATTCATTTTTATGATTAGTCCACAGTGTATCTATGTAGAACGGACTTATGTGAACTTCTGTTTTAGTATATAGTGCATTTAAAATGTAGAGCTCATCTAAAAAAAATTGTATTCAGTCCCTTCGAAGTCAATAAACTTTAATTAAACAATACCAATGGCCGGGCACCATGCCTCACACCTGTAATCCTAGCACTGTGAGAGGCCAAGGATGGAGGATCACTTGAGGCCAAGAGTTTAAGATCAGCCTGAGCAAGAACAAGACCCTATCTCTATAAAAAATTTAAAAATTAGCCGGGGATGGTGGCATGCACCTGTAGTCCTAGCTTCTCAAGAGCCTAAGACAAGAGGATGGCTAAAGCCCAGGAGTTTAAGGTTGCAGTGAGCTATGATGATGCCACTGTACTCTAGCCTGGACAACAGAGCAAGACCCTATCTCAAAAACAAAACAATACCAGCAAAAATGTGCAAGCAGTGTGGCTGGCAATTACAATAGAATCTTAGTCTCTTTTTCCTTTATGTCCAGCAAATCTCTAACATAAACCCCAATAAAATAATCATGATCTTTGCACAACCTACTATCATTTTTAATAACCATTCTTGTTCTCTATCTGTGATTTCTAAATCCAGTTGGTTTGTATTTTAACTGAGCATCCAAGGCATCTGAGAAATTTGTTAAAAATAGAGATTTCTAGGTCCTACCCCAGGCCTTCAAATTGAGATGTCCAGAGATGGAGTCCCCAAGTCTTCATGATTTAATAAGCTCCCCATGTGATTTGGATGCAGCCAGCCCCGTGCAGGTCTGGAAGTGGCACTAAATCACACAGGCCTCACCTTCAGGAACCCTACAACTGTACTGACTGTCCCAGATATTGATACACTGGGTCACAAAAACTAATGACCAAAGATCATTCATCCAGTATTTGCTAATGACCTACCAACTGTGGGATCAGAGCTATACTGGCCGGCCAGCCCACCTGCAGCCCCTGGTAGGGAATTGCGGTTCCACTCAGAGACACGGAGCAGGAGGAGGCGTAGGTGGAAAGGTGGCAGCTTGGCTTCTTGATCTCATTTTTCCCTACCAGGTACGTTGTACCAGGAAACACACAGGATGAGCAAACATCCAGGTGACCATGTGTGTAGCTCATGCAAAGGTTTTCAGATGTGATGACAGAGTGGAGTGCGGACATACCTGGGTTTGCCACCTACCTGCATTTCAGCTGACAAGCTGGTGACCTTGGGCAAGTCCCAGAGTCCTCCAAGTTCAGTTTCTTCAGCTTCGAAGCTGGGACGGGTGACGTCTGCCTTTGGGGGTGGTTGTGAAAGTCAGACACAGCAGTGTGTTAACCACTGTTAGAGGGTTGACAGAAGAAACCACTCTTGCTCTTGTAAGTGGACTGTTCCCAGTGAACCTGACCCGAGATGTCTAGGAAGCATCTCGTTAATAGGAAGCACTCCATAAAGGGAAGCCATCGTATTTCAAGTCTCAGAGACATCATAAAATACACACACTATATATATATCTTTTGAGACAGAGTCTCACTTTGTTGCCCAGGCTAGAGTGAGTGCCATGGCGTCAGCCTAGCTCACAGCAACCTCAAACTCCTGGACTCAAGCAATCCTGCTGCCTCAGCCTCCCAAGTAGCTGGGACTACAGGCATGCGCCACCATGCCAGGCTAATTTTTTCTATATATATTAGTTGGCTAATTAATTTCTTTCTATTTTTAGTAGAGATGGGGGGGTCTCGCTCTTGCTCAGGCTGGTTTCGAACTCCTGACCTCAAGCAATCCGCCCGCCTCGGCCTCCCAGAGTGCTAGGATTACAGGCGTGAGCCACCGTGCCCGGCCGATACACGCTATTAATGGAGGAATTAGATGCTTCTGAAATCATGGAAAGGGCTGAAAGATTGGAAATAACTTTCAGAAATAATTCCCACTTCGCCTACCAAATCATCAATGGGTTCGAGTGACCGGCCGACCTGGCGTCTCGTGTCGTCATAAACCCTTGCTGCAAGGAAACCTAGACACATGGTTTTAAGCCTCCTCCAATCTCTACAGTTCAGAAAAGCAAAGCGGGAGGGAGGGTGGAAAGCGTGCTAATCCACCTCACCCACCCACAGAGCTTAGACAAAGACTCTCGGCTGTGCCTGGCACCTGGTAAGTGCTGGGGACCTCCCCAGCCTGCACAAACAACATGAAAAACCCAACATGTTTTCCTCATTAGCTTAGGAAAGAATCAAATAAAAGGGGAAGGCTAACCTGTTTTTGTTCTCCAGGGTGGCTTTTGTCTGAAAACAGGAATGTCTCCCACTGTTATCCACCCAGCAATAACACAGATGGGTTTTTGAAGTTGTTGGCTTGCAAAGTAGCTGAGAAAGTGAAATTCCTAGATAAAGCAAGCGAAAGAATGCTCTCTTCCAGGAAGACAGCTGCCTTTTATGGCTCTCATAGCAGATTCATTGCAAAGCTTTTCCCCCCTCTACAAATACGTTGCTCCTTCTCGATGATTAATTAAGCCAGTAAGGCCCTAGAAATTTCAGAAAGTTTCTGAAAGGTTTCACTTCTTGCTGTCTGTGAATGATTTTGAGCCTCATAATGTTTGTTTCTTCAAGAGAGTGAGGAGACAAAAGGAATCCATCCATCAGCATCTGCCCTGCTCAGCTCCAAGTTCAAGGCAGCGGTGGCAGGGGCCTGCCCTGTTAGGAAGCCTCCACTGTAATGTCTGCAGCACAGCCGGGGGGGACACATCTGGGCGCTGGGCACTCCTCTTGCATGATCTGAGCAAGCTACGACCTTCCCAGGCCTCAATATCCTCCCCGCTAAAATGGGAGCTAAGCCTATTTTCTCTACCAATCTTCCAGGAATATTCGGGCAAACTATAAAACACAAGTATAGACCATATACAAATCTCTTAACATTTTTTTTTTTTTTTTTTTGAGACAGAGTCTCACTTTGTTGCCCAGGCTAGAGTGAGTGCCGTGGCGTCAGCCTAGCTCACAGCAACCTCAAACTCCTGGGCTCAAGCGATCCTCCTGCCTCAGCCTCCCGAGTAGCTGTGACTATATGCATGTGCCACCATGCCCGGCTAATTTTTTCTATATATTTTTAGTTGTCCAGCTAATTTTTAGTAGAGACGGGGTCATTTTTAGCAGAGACGGGGTCTTGCTCTTGCTCAGACTGGTCTAGAACTCCTGACCTTAAACGATCCTCCAGCCTTGGCCTCCAAGAGTGCTAGGACTACAGGCATGAGCCACTGCACCCAGCCAGCCCCCCAGCATGTTTTTGTAAACCCTATTCTTACTGCTTTTTTCATTCTACTAGAGAAAGTCTTACTATGGCTGGAAACCACACATTGCCCTCCTTCTTTCTGACCTAAGAAAACACAATACCAGACACCAAGAGTGCAGCGCCCACGGCTCACGGGGTACCGGCAACAGGTGCTGAGGATGGGGGCCAGTCCTGGTGTCCAGATTGGATTTGGATCCTCTGCAACTGGCTGTGGGCGCTTATATGAGCTACTCAACTTCTCCAAGCCTTGGTTTCCCCATCCTCCTAGTGGGGGTTGACAAAGATAGTACCTACCTACACGGCAAATAGTAAATGAAGTAATATTGTGGTGGACACTGCAGTGTGCCACCCAGATTCCCTCTTCCGAATGAGGTACTTTCCCCCAGCTGCCAAGAGACAGCAGATGACAGCTTCCATCTGAGATGCTCCCCCAACTTGCCCTTGGTCAAAGGGAGACCCTAGCCAGGGTTACAGCCCTTTAGGGGGCTGGGGAGAGGGAGGGGCCTGCATCCAATGAATGGTTGGTGCAGGAGCATGAAGGGCTGCTTCCTGCTTGCCCCAGCTGCAAACGACTCTCAAGGACCTTCCCAGCCCCAGAATCTAGCCCCGTACGATCAGCTAAGGCCTTCGTCATGACTGCACTGTAGTTCAATTTCTCCCTCTGGTCCTGTTGCCTTCTCCATCCCATAGCTGCAGATCCTGAGAGCGCTCTCCAGACTTCCTGCATTTAAATCTCCGCCTCAGAGACTTTTCCCAGGGAGCCTGACCTAAGATGCATATGTGAAGCGCCTCATTAATACAAAGCCCTCCACAAAAGGAAGCTACCACACTTCATCAAGTCTAAGAAGCATAACCATAAGATCCCATTATATTGTAGACCACCAAGAAAGAAAAAGTACCCAAGATGGGAAGTCTAACAGGGAACATCCAAATAAGTGTCCTCCCTGCAGAACAGGACAGCAAGAAGATGTGCAGGGCTCAACCTTAGCACCGGGTGAAGGCAGGGGAAACTGCCCTAGTCATCTGAACTGAACTCTCTGTACGCACAGAGTTGAAACTAACTGATCTTGGATTGGTAGCAGTCCAAGGACACTGGCAGAATCAAACACAAATACTCTCCAGAAAAACACAACTTCACTTGTTGCCAACAGTGATCATAAAACCTGCCCAGATTTCAGAGATGTTACAATGAGAAAGAAAGGTATGAAAGGTATCTACATTCGAATCAATGAAGTTCAAGTTCGCTATTCCAGTCAGCAAAGACAGGAGCATGCCCAGCTGTCACCCGCATACTTCACCATAATCAAAACTGGCCACAGAAAATGACCAGGTTTCCTGTGAACGCTGAAGCTTGTAAGTTAAAAGTAGAAATCACTGAGATAAAAGCACAACCCACCATGAAGGCTAGAAATAACACATTCGATGGGGAAGACCGCTAATGGTGGAGAAGATCTCAAGAGCAGAAATCGGGAGGGCTGGGCTCCCACCCGTGGTTACTCCTCTTTTGCTGTCTGAACTGAGTAACCCACTTAACTTCTGTGAGGTTCATTTTTCTCACATCATCCCATCATTGAGAGAAAAAAATAGCTGTCCTTCCTGCTCAAGTACTATATTAGATGAGCAAGTACTTTGAAGAGTTAAATATACATTATTTCTATTCAACAAAATGTATTAAAGACTTCCTACTTGTTTTAGGGCCTAGAGCTACAACACTTAAAATAAAATGCTTGCTTTATGAAGCTTACATTTTTGGGGATTCTAGTGTTGATACTATAAATTGTTCCTCCCTTTGGTAGCAGAATTTGATAGAATTCTTGTACCAATGATGCCCAGAGAAGGTTCAGCCCCAAATGAGCAAGGCTTTCAATTACAAAGGTGCAAAGTGAGGTCCTTGCCTATTTGCACACCTGCAGCACTGATAATGAACCGTTTGCTGCCTGGAGGCCACGCAGGGAAGGTGGGGAGTGGGGAGGGTGGAGGCTTTGAGCAGGTAATTGCTCGAATTGGCCACATCCTGCCACCTCCCTCGTCAGAGGCATGGTGTCCAGAGGCTCTTCCCCACCTCTGAGCCCCTCTTCCCTGGTCCGGTCCCCTTAGGTCACAATCTCCTTTGAACCTGGACCGAAGCAAGGCAAGGATTCCTTTCGGACGATTGCAACGGGGCAGCAGCAGTGCAGCGGTGAGGAGCGGAGGTTTCAAGTGCGGGCGCCTCTGCGTTGGAACCCCTTCGCTGAGACTCAGCAGCTCCGGCCGTGGGCAAGTTACTGAAACCCTCTAAGTCTCCGTTTCTTCATCTGCAACATGCGTGTGATAATGGCTCCTGCCTCGAGGGGTGTGGTGGGGATGAAATGAACCGATGCACGTGGGGCACACTGTCCCTGACCTACCAAGTGCGCACTAGGTGACGGCTGCTGTTGCTATTGTTATTAACTCCCCACCACCGCCCCGCCAGTCTAGATGTGCATCTCAGCAATGTTGCTGACAGCCTTTGCAAAGTTCCCACAGCTGGAGAGGAATTTTCGTAGAACTGAAGGAGATGCTTCCTTGTAAAAGAACAATGGGTAACACTTCTGCAGCCCTGAGAAATGAGGAATTTGGAGGCTTCCCCTGTCCTGCTGCTCAGGGAGGGTGGGAGGAGGGTGTCACCACTTACCTGCTCACACCTTCCTCCCATCGCATCCCATTAGGCACCCATGTGGTACCCAATTCTGCTCAACTCCCTTTTCTTAGCCAGACCAGTAAGAGGATGGGCCATTAGCCAGAGAGAGACAGGTAGGGGACAGTGAGAATGTAAGGTGATTGCCCCTGGGGACAGTAATCTCCTTCATCAGATAACCAATGTTTTGCCAACATTCTCCAATTCAGACAGTTCAGAGTTCTGAAATTTAGACTTGTTTCTCCATTTTAACTCTTTTTTTTTTTTTTTTTTTTTTTTGGAGACAGAGTCTCGCTTTGTTGCCCAGGCTAGAATAATTGCCTACCTCACAGCAACCTCAAACTCCTGGGCTCAAGCAATCCTCCTGCCTCAGCCTCCCAAGTAGCTGGGACTATGCACCACCAAGCCCGGCTGATTTTGTCTATATATATATTAGTTGGCCAATTAATTTCTTTCTATTTGTAGTAGAGACAGGGTCTCGCTCTTGCTCAGGCTGGTTTCGAACTCCTGACCTGGAGCAATCCGCTCATCTCGGCCTCCCGGAGTGCTAGGATTACAGGCATGAGCCACCGTGCCCGGCCTCCATTTTAACTTTTAATGTGATTGCATCAAAGAAGCCTGTTTAGAGCCTGAAAACATGGTAAATTGTTTCATTTTGTAGACACATTACCCAGGAGCCGCAGACCTCCTAGACCTTTTTTTTAAAGTCTCAATTCTTCCGTCAAAGCCACTTTTGCTAAATTTTTAAAAAAATGGTTTTTTAAGATAGTTTTTTTTTTAGAGTAGTTTTAGGTTTGTGGCAAAATTGAGCAGAAGGTAGAGTTCCCACACCCCGGCCCCCCCAGCCTCACCTATTGCCAACATCCTGCCCAATAATCCTGTTTAATGATCACTTCTAATAAAATGAATCAGCTAAAGGGGCAGAATCCTTTGTTCATGAACCTCACAAAATCACTTGCCTTGTGCATACAGTTACATTCTAACCTAGGGAAAAAATTATATGAAATTTTTTTAAAAAGTCAAAAAAAGAAAAAACAGACAAACTTCTATTGTGTGGAGGGCAAATGGGAGGGGAGAGAAGAAGAAGAATTTACACTTACGAAATAGGCACCATGCGCACCACCTGAGCGTAGGACACACTTGATGTTTTGGTAAGGCGGGGGTGGGGGGAGGAATGGCAGGGGCAATATATGTAAACCTAACAATATATGTACCCCCATTATATGATAAAATAAAAAAAGTATATGAAATATGTCTGTTCTTGATAAAATCGTAATTCAACAAAGCTCTGATTTTGCCTCCTTGGTTCTGAATTCTACAAAACAAACTCTTTATATCCATGGAAATTTTTTCGGTGGGGGGGAATTGTTGTTTGTTTTTCAAATG